CACATGAACACACACACACGCCCACATAGAGCCCCCACATGAACACACACACACACCCACATAGAGCCCCCACATGAACACACACACCCACATAGAGCCCCCACATGAACACACACACCCACATAGAGCCCCCACATGAACACACACACCCCCACATAGAGCCCCCACATGAACACACACACACCCCCACATAGAGCCCCCACTTGAACACACACACACACCCACATAGAGCCCCCGCATGAACACACACACACCCCCACATAGAACCCCCACATGAACACACACACACACCCATAGAGCACCACATGAACACACACACACCCCCACATAGAGCCCCCACATGAACACACACCCACATAGAGCCCCCGCATGAACACACACACACCCCCACATAGAGCCCCCACATGAACACACACACACACCCATAGAGCCCCCACATGAACACACACACACCCCCACATAGAGCCCCCACATGAACACACACACCCCCACATAGAGCCCCCACATGAACACACACACACCCCCATAGAGCCCCAACATGAACACACACACACACCCACATAGAGCCCCCACATGAACACACACACACGCCCACATAGAGCCCCCACATGAACACACACACACACATAGAGCCCCCACATGAACACACACACACACCCACATAGAGCCCCCACATGAACACACACACCCACATAGAGCCCCCACATGAACACACACACCCCCACATAGAGCCCCCACATGAACACACACACACCCCCACATAGAGCCCCCACTTGAACACACACCCACATAGAGCCCCCACATGAACACACACACCCACATAGAGCCCCCACATGAACACACACACCCCCACATAGAGCCCCCACATGAACACACACACACACCCACATAGAGCCCCCACATGAACACACACACACCCCCATAGAGCCCCCGCATGAACACACACACACCCCCACATAGAGCCCCCACATGAACACACACACACACACCCACATAAAGCCCCCACATGAACACACACACACCCACATAGAGCCCCCACATGAACACACACACACCCCCACATAGAGCCCCCACTTGAACACACACACACACACCCACATAGAGCCGCCACAAGAACACACACACCCCCCACATAGAGCCCCCACATGAACACACACACACCCACATAGAGCCCCCACATGAACACACACACACACACCCACATAGAGCCCCCACATGAACACACACACACACCCACATAGAGCCCCCACATGAACACACACACCCACATAGAGCCCCCACATGAACACACACACACACCCACATAGAGCCCCGAGGGGAGGTCACGTGGCCGACAGGTTTTCACCCAGAAGCCCCCTCATGGGACTAATCTTCACGGTTTCCTGTGACCAGGGAATTGGGCGACCTCCCCCGAGGCTAACTCGCACCACGGCACCGTGACTTGGGTGGTAATCACGTGGTCACGAGGGAGCTGCTTAGCCACCGCGGGTAGAAAACACACACAACACACACGGGTCAGCAGACAGGTAGGGGGGTGGAGCCACGAACGGCGGGAAAACAGGGCCGGCCCTCTGATTGGTAGGACAGATGCGCTTGTGCACCAACGCAGCAGCCCCACGGTCGTCCCTTTTGATGTAGAAGGTCTGAGAGAGCACCGGTCCGGGGAGAGTGGCGGGAAATCCGAGCCACCTGATTGGCCGGGAAGGTCAGCGGATCGGCGCCGAATTCTCTTTGATGTAGAGAATAATAAAAGGCGAGAGAAGGTAGGGATAGGGAAGTCGTGTTCTTCTCAAGTCAGGGATCAGAGTAGTCACCTTGCCGGCCACTGGATCGTCCGTGAGAACTTCACGCAGCCTCGCCTCTCCATGGCGCCCCGCACATCCGAGCTGAACCCGCGTGCGAGTGGTGCGCGGAGTTGTGTGAGCGGAGGCGTCGTGTTTGAGTGGCTGAGAAGCGGCGGATTGATTCCAGGCAGCCGTGCGCCAGCCCCGAGCTATGCCCCCCAGACAGGACCCGCGGACCCGAGGGGCTGCACCGCAAGGAGAGGAGCCAGAGAGCGGCAGCCCTCTCCCCACGAGCGAGGAATTGGATAGCGGCGGCTCTCACACGAGCGAGGAGTCCGGAGCCCGCAGCCCTCCCGAGATCAGCCCTCCCCCGGAGGGGGAGCCGGGGGCCCGCATACCCCACAAGACACGGGGTGGCCTGCCGTGACTACCGGGTTCATAACCACAGCACGGGTGTGAGACACGGGGTGGCCTGCCATGTCTACTGGGTTCATAACCACAGCACGGGTGTGAGACACGGGGTGACCTGTCGTGTCTACCGGGTTCATAACCACAGCACGGGTGTGAGACACGGGGTGACCTGTCGTGTTTAGCGGATTCATAACCACAGCACGGGTGTGAGACACGGGGTGGCCTGCCATGTCTACCGGGTTCATAACCACAGCACGGGTGTGAGACGCTGGGTAGCCTGCCGTGCTTGCCGGGTTCACATCCACAACGCCTCCCTCCCGAATCCGTCCCTCCACGTAAACAAATATATAATAGCATTTGTTTACACTTCAGCTAGTAGAGCGTTTTGGCAGCGTGTGACTTCACTGCATTGGTTGAATACATAGGCAACTCTAAAAGTGGGTATGAACCCAAGTTCATACCTCAGCGACGGCTAACGCAAGTGTCGAGCGACATCCGAATAAGTTTTGGTGCCTGCCATCACAAGCCCGCGCTGACCTGCGTGGTGAAGTATGGTCAATCACAACGCCGTAGACTGGCAACGCATATGAATGTCGTTATCCAGTGGAATGTAGAATTGGTTTACGTATGTATGTCGCTCTAAGTCGCTTCTGAAAAAGAAGCTAATAGTTCAGAGTGCTTTACCTGGTAAGATAAAGAATTTGTTTCGTTTTATTTGCATATATTTTTAAGAGATGTGTTTATATTTACTATACTTTGCATTCCTAGCGCGTTTGTGTATTGCTTGTTTTTGTGACGTTCTGACCTGCTCCAACTGTACATCTGTGAAAAAGAGCTTTATAGCTTATCGGATTCCTCCAGTATAATTAAATATTTAGTTTTTTATTCTGCATGTTGAACTTCTTTCGGACCGTACATAGCCAACCGTGCCAATCGGAGGTGCGGGGGAAGGACAACAAACTAAACACAAACAGCAGTTCTAAACAAACAGAGTTTTCAATCGAGATTTAAGAGTGCACAGCTCCAGGTGGCTTCCTCAGCACCGCATGGAATGGTAACAGATTGCATTGTCAGAGTGAGTGTCATCGGTGAGGTCAGCTGACAGCGGTGACACCTGCTCTGAGGGTGTTCTACTGGACATCTGTGAAACTACTTGACATTCGTGGAAAATAGCTTTATTATAGCTCATCAGATTCCTCCAGTCTAAATAAAGATTCTGATTTTGAAATATTCTTAGGGTATGGCTCACGAAGAAAGGAGAGGTCGTGGCTCTTCGCGTTGAGGCTCCGTTACCTTGGAACTCGCTATTCCAAAGGGTTCTGTGCTCACAGCGGCTACTTTGCATTCAGTGTTGAAAATATATCTTTATATAATAATTATTTTTATTTAAAGCTTTCGTGACTGCAGTAATTCATATTCTTAGCTCTTTCGGTAAAGTCACGTTGAAGGGAAAAAATAAAATAATAAAATATATATAAAACAATAAAAATTCTCACGACGTTTCAACCATAACACAAACGGTTGTCATCAGGTGTGTCGGTTTGCATTAATTAATTTATTTTTAAACGGTGTATTTATTTATAAAAACGTCAGCGCCAGGTGCAGCGATTTGACAGTTTGTTTAGATGGACGAGTCCATCTATGTTCAGAAGAGAGGAGGGGGGAGACGAAAAATTAATGTATGCTGTCTGAAAGCCACAGTTAGCGTGAACAATCAATTAAGACCCGAAATGGTTTATCAAATCCTTCCAATGATTGCTAAGCCAGAATCCATCTTCTCGGTTGAAATTGTCTCTGTGTTTGTATATGTGGATAGCCTTATGAACGAATCTCTCATGGTAGCCAGATGGCTTGCAAAGAACCTCTTTCTTGGAGAAGTCAATGTCATGTGAGCCTACTGAATTATAACAGTGATCTGCCACGGCAGAGGAGTTCGTTCTACCGTGTTTAAGATCTGCTTTGTGTTCACGAATAAAAATAATAATATTATTATTATCTCTGGCTCCCCACCAGCTCCATTTTTCCTAATTTAATATCGATGCAAACAAAAGTAAAATCCATGCACCGTGCGTGGTTTTTCTTCATCGTCACTTGATAGTCCTGTTGCTTACCAGTTGGTCCACACACAAATGCCCTCCTTGTGCTCAACCACCGGTTCGACGGAACTGCACGTGTGGCCGTGTCTTGGACTACCAGGTCAATACACTGTGCAGAATTACCTCGTGGTGCTGCTGCTGCTGTTATTGCTACATTGGATAGTGGTGCACAATTAGCAACAAAGCTCAACACATTGGTCAATAACAACATTGTGTGTGTATGCTCTTTACAGTAAACAGATATAACAGGCGATGTTCCGGTCAATGGCCAATATGTCATGGAAGAAGAGCCATTGCCTATGATATACTTTCCCTATCAAGGCCATGTACACTGTGTTATTATTGGCGAATGCGTTGATGGTTTTTTTTTATTGTCGCGACCAATATTATCCATAATAAAGGGTTTTTTGATGAGATCGTGTAAATATAAATGTGTCGTTAAACCAACACCCGGCACAGCTAATTAGTAAGGTTTGTCGCGTAAACAAAACGTGCAAATGAATTACTAGTACAGCACACCGGTGTGTTGGAGAGTAAACCCACAACATTTACAATACGAGTACGACGTTGTGCCGGTGACTACAACCATCATCATCATCTTCATCAGGCGATTATCCAGCTGGCTAAATTGTAAATGCTGTAACTGTTGCTGTGGGTTTTACTCTCCAATACACCCGGTGTGGCGTCCGGGAAAGAGACGGAAGGGAACTTAACTCAGGGTCTTCATGAAGTCGAATCCCGGGGTCACGACCCCGAGCGCGAGCTCTCGGACTTGGCGACCAAAGCTGTAGACGAACTGAGTCGCCTCCTGGGGGAGCACGGGATGGGGGGGGGGGGGTCAGAGTCCCCCAGCGCTTCCCAACACCGTGTGGCCTCAACCCATCCCGCTCTACCCCCCGCGTCTCGTCGGCCGCCCGCACAGCGGCGTGGCCTGCATGGACCCTGGTGAAGAGAATTAAATAGTTCCTTCCTCGCGCCACGTGGCCATTTCCCCACTTGTCCGTGTGCCTACGTGTCCATGTCCCCATATGCCCGTGTTCCCACGTCCTCGTGTCCCCATGTGTCCATGTCCCACATGTGTCATTGCCCCATATTTCCCTGTATGCCTGCGTCCCCACGTGCCCGTGTCCCCATGTGTCCATGTCCCACATGCCCCCGTGTGCCTGCTTCCCACGTGCCCCCACGTGCCCATGTCCCCGTGACCCCATGTGTCCATGTCACACATGTCCCCGTGTGCCTGCTTCCCACGTGCCCCCACGTGTCCGTGTCCCTGTGTCCCCCCCCCCCCCCGTGCCGTCACCGGGATACGGTGTGGCGCCGTGGCGAGCATGGCAGCCGTCATGGCCCCGGCGCTGGCCCCGGCGTAGGCGCGCACGAGCGCCGTGAGCGCCGCTCCACGTTCCAGCAGCGCGCTCGCCACCCCCAGGTGGTACACGCCCATGAAGCCCGAGCCGGCAAACGACACGTTCACCTCCTGCTGTCCCGCCTGCTGCTCGTGCGGCCCCGGCTGCTGCTGCTCCTCCACGGGCATCGTTTCCTGGATGTGCAGCGGGGCGACCATAGACCGCACAACTCACAAACTGGCCACAATATACAGGGTGCTTAAAAAAATGTTTTAAGGGAGGTTGGGTCGTGATGCAGGGTCATTGGGTCAGGAGCGAGGACGGGAGGTGAGCGAAGAATGGAGAGGGCAGTACTAAAAGAGATGAGTCACAGCATTCCATCGATATTGGACGGACGATGTGAATATTTTAATAATATAATTTTAATAATATGTTAATAATAATATAATCTTCATCCACGTCCAGGAACTTCACAAGCCCGATTGATGCAAAACGTTGGCAGCCTCATTGCAAAAAAAATCGATCATGACAAAATTCCCAACTTCTTTGGTTCTTTCGGTAAAGTCATGTAGAATGAGAATAAAATAATCAAATCAAATAAGACAATACAATTCTCACGACGTTTCGGCCACAACACAAGTAGCCTTCTTCCAATTGAAGCTCTGTCGTCCCGACAGTTCTGTTCTTTCACCTGAAGAAGGCTACTTGTGTTGTGGCCGAAACGTCGTGAGAATTAATTGTCTTATTTTATTTTATTATTTTATTCTCATTCTACGTGACTTTACCGAAAGAACCAAAGAAGATGAATCCTTGCAGTCACGAAAGCTTTAAATCGAAATAAAATTCCCAACATTACGAGAATTGTGCAAACATTACCAACAATCCACGATCTGTCACAAGATAGTAACCATCACACAAAAACAACAATCAGATCACAATAAACAAATGTCTTAATCACAAATAATTAAATGCCCATCAATTACAATGCTATATCATTGTTGTTAGTGTTACTTATTGTTGCTTACTGCCGAATGTCAATCCACTCGTGCACTGCTTCGTAACTGGCGCCACGGTGTTCTTGGAATTGCATTAAAATGGAACAAAGGAACTAACTAATCCCAGTGTGAAAATCGTCAACGTCATCGACGCGAGAGGCCTTTTTTAAGTGTTGCCCCTTTTTGGCACGAGCTTCTCAACTCTGACCCTCGTCACAAACAAACGACAAGAGGTCGTGTCCGCACTAACAGTCGGGATCAGCAGCTTCGCGTGGGCTCTTTCCACATCAAAGGGCCTCCGTTCCTGCAAGGCCCAACGCGCGAGTGTCTGCCTCGTGGTTTTGCATGGCGGCGCGCGGAGCCTTCGCTCTCTCTCTCTCACTCTCATGGCGTCTGGGAACTGTTGCTTAACTTAATCTTATGACCGCCCTGTGATTGTCGAACGACTGCCACATGTTCTTTGCCAAGTCGTCGAGACATTTTCGCTCAGGTTGACTGATGTTCACTCTTTGACAGCATCCTAACATTTTTTTTAAACCTGATTACACTTGTACATTTTTGCTTTCCCTTTGTTATCACTTTCAAAGGAATTTAACTTCCTCCGTGAAATCATCTCCACTCGTCGAAATTAATAATTTAAAAAACTCCTTCATCATTAGACCTCCTTTGCCAGTACCAAAATATAAGAATAGGGTTTTTCCCCTTTTTCTGGCAACAAAACTGAAACCTTTTTACAAGGATTCATGTCTGCATTAACCACAATACCTGCAGTAAAAATGCAAACAAAAAACATACTATGATCATATATGCATTGTCCTTGAAACTGGTTGGTCCACACCAAGGGACGGCTTTCTTTTGAGCCTCGACCCAATTGGTGCTCGACCAGATGACGCCAAAAGGCGTCCCTTGGTGTGGACCAATCAGTTTCAAGGACAATGCATCATATTATCATAGTATGTTTTTTGTTTGCATTTTGACTGCAGGTATTGTGGTTAATACAGACATGGATCCTTGTAAAAAGGTTTCAGTTTTGTTGCCAGAAAAAATGGGAAAAACCCTATTCTTAAAAAACTCCTGCCACGGATTATGCCAGCGCCATTTGGATTTCCTTGTTCTCGATGACTTTGCGATATCAACGGCAATGCTGTCGAAGCAGTGGAGGAATGTAACGACCTCGGATCTGTACAGACCACTGAGAGACGACGTAGATCTGATGTCATGCGCCCGATCGGCCTGGCCTCAAGAATAACGAACGGTTTGGTCCCAGAAATCTTTAAGTCTGGGCACCAAATTGAGAGTCTACCAGTGCTGTGTTTTGCCACTTTTGTTGTACGGTGTGGAGGCCTGGACATTTCTTCCAGCTGATTTGCATCAGTCACAGTCCTTCCACACGCGATGCCAAAGATGACAGCCTTATAAGGCATACAACGGTTCGACTTCTTCAAAAATGTCACCGTCGCATCTGCGAGACGGGTCTCCGAGCGATCGAGAGCTCAGCTAGAGAAGGAGACCGGCTGTGGTGTCACTGTGGATCAACGTCGACCCGTCTGTGATGCGCAAACTCCTGCAGCAAATTGCGCGCACTTCGGTCGACGTTCGAATTGAGGACTGCGACCCCCCCCCCTCAAAGAATTGGCGCCCCCACCTCTCTGGTCCTCCCCCCCCCCCCCCCCGTGATCCGTGGATCAAACAAATCACTCGAGACGCCGGTGTGTGACAGCCAAGAGCAGTTCATGTGAACGCTGTCGCATGGGGTCACCCGTTTGGCACAAACGCTCCTTCGCTGACTACGCGTGACAAACGATGAGATTAGAATGGGCGGCGGATCGTGAACTCCCCCCCCCCTCTCTCTCTCTCTCGCAGCTACAACGAATTGCCATCCCATGTGGGGCCCACAGTGAGCGTTTGCATTCAGTGTGGCCACAACCATCGAGCCAGTTCTACGGTGTGAGCGGCGCCGTGGAGTCAAAGATATTGATGAGCACTGCAACCGTGGAATGAAATCCTTCCACACTGTGAAAGTGACAGCCCAGGACTGGTTCGATCCCGACCGTAACGAAGCATGCTGTATATTTGGAGTTTGCATGTCTCCTCTCTCTACCTGTCCCCGTGGTCGCGTAGATTTTTCATTGGGTCCCCTCCACATGTAGATTTGACATGACGCGATTAGAGTATTTGGCGACTGATATAAATTTCCACGTGATAAGCTTCATTGAGCTATCATTTGTGACCAGGCTCGCTTCTGAAAAGAGCTACAATATATAGCTCAGTGGGCCTTACCTGGTGAAATAAAACAAAATTGTTGCGTTTTCATAGTTCACACGCCACTGATGTTAGCTATGGCTGTAAATCTCAGGCTCAGGCTTTATTATTTCAGCTGACAAGGCCCCACTGAGCTAAGCAGCTCTGCCACGTGGGCGACCACAGCCCAAGACTCGGCAGTGGCGGCAGTTTCAGGACACTGTAGTTACATCGAGTTTGATAGCGTTGTGTCGAGATTCATAGAGAGAACCATAGAGTTAGATAGTGCCTTAGAGTTATATAGAGATCCAGAGTTACATAGAGATCCAGCGTTACATAGAGATGCAGAGTTACATAAAGATCCTGAGTTACATCGAGATCCATAGTTACATAGAGATCCAGAGTTACATAGAGATCCAGAGTTACATAGAGATCCAGAGTTACATAGAGATCCTGAGTTACATAGAGATCCAGAGTTACATAGAGATCCTGAGTTACATAGAGATCCTGAGTTACATAGAGATTCATAGTTACATAGAGATCCAGAGTTACATAGAGATCCTGAGTTACATAGAGATCCATAGTTACATAGAGATCCTGAGTTACATAGGGATCCAGAGTTACATAGAGATCCTGAGTTACATAGAGATCCATAGTTACATAGAGATCCAGAGTTACATAGAGATCCAGAGTTACATAGAGATCCATAGTTACATAGAGATCCAGAGTTACATAGAGATACATAGTTACATAGAGATCCAGAGTTACATAGAGATCCATAGTTACATAGAGATCCAGAGTTACATAGAGATCCTGAGTTACATAGAGATCCTGAGTTACATAGAGATCCAGAGTTACATAGAGATCCAGAGTTACATAGTGATCCATAGTTACATAGAGATCCAGAGTTACATAGAGATCCTGAGTTACATAGAGATCCATAGTTACATAGAGATCCTGAGTTACATAGAGATCCAGAGTTACATAGAGATCCATAGTTACATAGAGATCCATAGTTACATAGAGATCCAGAGTTACATAGAGATCCAGAGTTATATAGAGATCCAGAGTTACATAGAGATCCTGAGTTACATTGAGATCCATAGTTACATAGAGATCCAGAGTTACATAGAGATCCAGAGTTACATAGAGATCCAGAGTTACATAGAGATCCACAGTTACATAGAGATCCAGAGTTACATAGAGATCCAGAGTTACATAGAGATCCAGAGTTACATAGAGATCCTGAGTTATATAGAGATCCAGAGTTACATAGAGATCCAGAGTTACATAGAGATCCAGAGTTACATTCAGATCCAGAGTTACATACAGATCCAGAGTTACATAGAGATCCTGAGTTACATAGAGATTCAGAGTTACATAGAGATCCAGAGTTACATAGAGATCCATAGTTACATAGAGATCCAGAGTTACATACAGATCCAGAGTTACATAGAGATCCAGCGTTACATAGAGATCCAGAGTTACATAGAGATCCAGAGTTACATACAGATCCAGAGTTACATAGAGATCCAGAGTTACATAGAGATCCAGAGTTACATAGAGATCCTGAGTTACATAGAGATCCAGAGTTACATAGAGATCCAGAGATACATAGAGTTCCAGAGTTACATACAGATCCAGAGTTACATAGAGATCCAGAGTTACATAGACATCCAGCGTTACATAGAGATCCAGAGTTACATAGAGATCCTGAGTTACATAGAGATTCATAGTTACATAGAGATCCAGAGTTACATAGAGATCCAGAGTTACATAGAGATCCTGAGTTACATAGAGATCCATAGTTACATAGAGATCCAGAGTCACATAGAGATCCTGAGTTCTATAGAGATCCTGAGTTACATAGAGATCCTGAGTTACATAGAGATCCATAGTTACATAGAGATCCAGAGTTATATAGAGATCCAGAGTTACATAGAGATCCAGAGTTATATAGAGATCCAGAGTTACATAGAGATGCAGAGTTACATAGAGATCCAGAGTTACATAGAGATCCATAGTTACATAGAGATCCATAGTTACATAGA